TTATTTAATAGAATGGCTTGTCAATTCATATCTGCTTCAGACATGCTTCATTGGCTCTGAGCAATTTGACAATCAATAAATAAAACTCTTTCCTGGAACTAACTTGAGTTTTTCTGAAGTCTTTCAAAAAGCATCAGTTTGATGTCAAGCCATGTTACTATCCTAAAAAAGATTGGCACTAGCTGTACTAATTAAGTAATGAGACTGTAGTTATAATAAACACAAATCTTTATTTTTCAAAAAAGATTTACATTTTTGAAGTAATTACCTGTCATCATTATACAATGCTGACATCAATCGTAGAGGCTGTTCAAGGCATGCTGGAAGTCTTCAGGTGCTTGGTTGTTACCTTCTGGATGCATAGCATGTTGTGGAAATGTTAATTTTTAAATTTTTTTTAAATTTAAATTTATTTTTTTTTTAAATAAATTGTATTTGCAGTAATAGAAAAAAAAACAGTCAGCAAGAGCCAGATTGGATGAATAAAAGAAGTGTTAAATGATCAGAGATCAAAAATTGTGTCACAAGTAGAATGTTATGAGCTGCTGCATTATTGTGTGGGAGAAATTAATTGTTGACAAATTGTTTTCTTACTCATTAAATTTGTTCTCTTAACCTCTTTATTATTATTATTAAATAATATTTAGCATTAACTGTTGTCCCTTAAGGAATAAATTCTCTAACTCACAACAACTAATCTGATTTGGCTGTATGTCACCCTCAGTGGGCTCTTAATCTTCAAAAAAAGGGACATGCCGTCAGTAGACCTATCACACATCACACACCAGTTTTTTGTATAAACAATAATATATCCTAACAATAATTTTATGAGACAATATTTAAAGAAACATGACTGATACACACAATGTTTTTCTCATTGACTATTAACAACTTCCACGTTCTACCAGAAGTTGAAGAAGGTCCAATCATGTGACTTGTCTCAGGCTTTATTTACTTTTAGACATGGTCAATATTAGCATTGAATATTTTTATCTTCCTCCTCCTCCTTTTTAGTACAATACTGTAATTTTTTGGGTTTGGTTATGGTTCTATATACAGTAGAGCATCGTTTATTCAAGTCAATTGGGGACTGAGGTTGTTCAGATAACCGATTATGTACGAAAAAATATATTAACCTATCCCATGTTGAAATTTTCCTCCAATTGCATGTTGCTTCACTGAACATTGATGCTAAGCCTAACATAAACTTTTTAAAACAATAATCGTGGCTATTGTATCGTTAAAAATTATTTCGTTGTTTTTTACAAACAAAATAAATATATTGAAAAATATAAAAACCAAAAAATATATACTTTAGAAGTTGATCTAGTATCAAAAACGTTCGATTCAGCACGACACAGTCCTCAGAAAAACATCACACAAAAGTGCCAGTGCTGCCAGCTAAAACACACACACCAACAAAAAAATATTGGAGTAGTCCAAGATATAGTTAAAGATTGCAGCGCCACAGCACTAGCGAAAATTTAAATTTGCCAACAGGAATTCTTTCGGATAACCGACTTTCGGATAAAAGACGCTGTACTGTATTTCAATATACAAATATTGAAACATTTATTATAAATTATAAAGTATCCAGATAATAAACTAATAAATTGAACCATAAATTTACGAAATAAACTTATTTTCAGTAAAGGATATACTGTATACATCTTTTTACAGTAAAACGATACTTGAAAATGAAGCCGAGTTTATATCTAAGAACTACTTTTCTAAGAGCTTTATTCGAGAATTTCTATAGATTTTGTTTCCGTATCCAAGTTAACTGTTGGAAAAATAAAACTACAAACCAATCTATATATATATATAAAACAAACAATTTATAAATTGTCAAGACATACCAATATCTAGCAATAGGATTTTAATAATCTTATCAAGTTGAATGATGTCCTAATGCATTAACAGCTTTGGAAAAATAGTTTTTATCATCTAACTTTTCACCCATTTCCAAAATATTCCATTTTTTACATCATATTATAAAGAAGATCAATTTATAAATGATAAAATTCTTAATTGTATTATTTAATTTTAGCAGAATTCAAAGGAATGCTTTATATTTAAAATATGAAAAAACATTCATTAGCTCATTATTATTTTTATTAAATTTTATAATAATGATAATATGAGATAGTATATTCTACTATCCTAGGATTCATTTTGTAATGTAACAATATTATTAATGGTAATGAAACATTTACTAGTACTGTATATAATTAAGTTTATAAACAAATAAAATCATACATTAATTGNTTTGTGGAACCATGATGCCAAAGTAGTTGTGATAACCAACTTTCCTTGGTAATCTGGATTTCTTATTGGAGGAATGTAACCATTATTCCAATTCCAGAAATTAAATTAGATCAATTAATTCCTACAATAATGGCTGTGGAAAAAGTTGTCAGTTGTTGTTATAAAAAATACAGAACAAGTTCATCTACATACAGTTTGGTTAAGCACTACATTATTATGTTGTTTATAAAATGAAGTCATAAAAATTTATGCATTCTGACCTGGAATAATGTTTAATAGCAACCGTGCTCATCTCAAGATCTCAAATTTACAGAAGGAAAGAATCTGAAGAATTAGTTAATTGATTAAGAGGATTTAAACTGATACAGGTATATGTGAAGTCATATTTACTGGATCTTCTAGCAAATTTTTTTAGTTTTAAAAATGTTCATTAGTTTGTTTAAAATCAATATTAATAATTATATAGCAGATGATAATCATTATTGATTGAATATTTATGGCATATTTTGTTGCAAGTATAAGAAAAAAGTTTTTTTTATAGAAACAAATAAGCAATCTAAAAGTTGTTTCTAGATTATATGCTTTAAGCTACTTAGTAATAATTATCCTGTTTTGGAAACAAATACCATAATGCATATAAATTTTGTTCCTTGTATATTACGAATAAATTTGACATTATACAAGGGTGAATTGTAAACTGTAACTTATTTTGTACCTTAGTTCTTGACAAAGTACTCATTGATGGATCCCTTTTGGTTTGTTCAATATGCTTTCCAACTTTTGATTAACAACTTTAACTTTGCTTTTAAGAACTGAATATTTATTTGTTTTTCCAGTGGTATTGTTGCCTACTACTATAGCACTTCTCAAAGTCCTTAAGTGGAGACTTCCTGATGAAACAGTTGCTGCTTGAGGAATCTAAACCCAAAAAAGTCCCAAAACTGATGTCTGGTGACTTGATGAGTACATCCTTTGGAAGTATGTAGTTGGTTCTGCCAGAGTACTTTAATTTCTCCAGGTACTCAATGGTGAATTTGACATTATGATTGGAGGCTTTATCAGGATATAAGATAACCTTCTCACCTCCTAATGCTCTTCCAGGACAAGTGGCACATAAGGTTGCATTAGCTTTCAAATTTTTTTTTTGTTCTTTTATGAGTAAGTGATCCTTTTTATTATCACTCCTCCAATTATTATGAACAAAACTGGCCATTTTTCACATTTGATGAACTATGATTCCATCACTTCTTTCTCAGGTTGTATGAATCTTGTGAATTCCATTACAGTAGTCAAGATAGATTTATGACTCATCTAATGTAGCCATGTATTTGCTCTTTCCACCAGTCAAATGACACTCATTCAATTTTTCAGCATTGGTCTTCCAGTTTTCCTTGTGATTTGAGATAAGGTAATGGAAAGTTTTTTCTTTGTTTTCTAGCCTGCAAATCTTGATGGATTATGATTTGCACAGTCAACTTGAAGATACAGATTTTTTTTTGCTATTACTTGTTGATTCGTACATACTTTGTTGACTGATTGTAAAAGTACAATGTCATTTTACCTTTCTGATGATTTGATTTACAATATGTGATTTTTGAACTCAGAAAAGATGGGTAGCAATAGCATTTGGAATGTTTTTGTCCTGTTGTTGACAACTCTGATGAAATTTTCTAAGGTTTTCTTAAAAGTAAATGTATTTGAACCCAAACTGAGTCATAATTAGCAATTCACTATGTATTTATGATAATTATACGCACACAATTATTATATATGTACTAGAAATTTTCTTGTTATGTATGATGGACTATTTTCTATGTGAAAGTAGAGACTGAAGAATTGAGAAGAGTACAGATTTCAAGAAATTCAAGAAGAGTAACTAATATTTCTACAAATACATAAATACAAAATATTTCTACAATAGCTTATACTGTTCATCAGAACATAATTGAAGCATGGTAATATATTTTAAATAACAGACTTGTTAGATCGTTATTTTTGATTGGATAATAGAACGTCAAGCAGTCTCTATGGAAAGATTTTTTAAAAAACTTTGTTATAGAAGTGACATGATGCAGATACTTCTTTTTTAAGTGTAAATTTTAAATTTAATGAAGAAAGTTTAAAATGTGCCATTTGCCAAAATATTTAAAAATGCAATTTTTAAGGGAAATTTCATTGTCAAGTAAGAACTAAATGGGGTCACTGATGTCATTTAGTTCATTACACAATGTAAGTGCAATCAGCAATTCAAAATTGATAAAATGTTTATTTCATAGCTAATATTTCTGCAAAATGAATAGCCTATACTTTCCATCAGAACATAAAACAAATAAAACCAAAATTTCATCTGGATTGGACAAAAATTGTAGGTGTTATAAGGAATTCACTTATATATATATATAAGAAATTTTAAGTAAAAACTTTAAATGGCATATGTTAATTATAATAACAGTAATTAAAGGAATAAGTTATTAGCATTAAATTTGTTTAGTTCATGTAAATATAATCAATAGTTTGTAAACTGTGCTTTGTGTGTACCAGGTTTAATTAAATGATTCAGCAATTAAATATTTGAATTGCAGGTAGGCAAACATCTGATTATAATATGGCAGAATTTTAAATAAATGCTGTACAATTTGCTTTTGTCAAATTTTTATTTTGTATTCTTAATATTTATCTTATTTTAATGTTTTTATTGGTTAAAAAGTAATTACTGTTTTTATTTTCTACAGCGTATGGATTTAGGTGAATGTCCAAGAATTCATGATTTGGCGTTGAGGGCTGATTATGAATCTGCCTCAAAAAAGAAAGATTATTATTATGATGTTGATGTAAGTAATTGTTATAAAAAATAATAAGAAAACTAAATGGTCATTTTCTTAATTTAAAGTAATAAAATTAATGTTATACATTCACTTCAGTTTTTGGCTTTTATTTGATTGAAAAACTATTTTTGACTTACAGAATACAATAATTTCAATGGGGAAAAATATTAATTCAGTAAATTAAATGATTGGTGTGTGTGTGTTGTTATGATTTCTACAGATGTAAAAACAATTTTCAACTTTTGTTTATTGCTTGGCTCCAGAATTGACTGGGTTAGTGAGGATCTTGAGAAGCCACTTCCTTCACTGCTAAAATGAAACAGCTGACAGGATGATCAGTGAGTACAACTTATGGGGTACATTACAAAAAATAATTGTTGAAACTCAAATAAAAAGTTGCCATTATTTTAGTTTGGTAGCTTTATGCATTTATTGGAATGTTTATACAATAATTGTTAGTCTTTTTTAGAACGAGGGATATTTTTGTTGACTTTATAAAGGCTGCTTTAAATAGAAATTACGTTAAGAGAAATAGATTAATTGTTGGGGGAAAATTTAATTAATAGTGACAATTATTAAGACATACAGGCCAATTTATGAAATAATATGTAATCCAAGATATAATATCTTCCAAAGGATAATACTTGTATTGAAAAACAATTTGTAAAAGTGATAGTATTTTTCATTAGGCTCTTCATATTAATCAAGCCTTCCAGCTGATGATGTGAAGCTTGGCATTGGCAAATAGTGAGTCTTTTTATTGAATTTTTAATTGGTGTTATTTACGAAGATAAATCAGAACTAGGTTTGCTGAATTTTCACATATTATTATTTTTTGATTTAGGAATGGGGCAGTTACAAAAGGATTTGCATTAGACCAAATTCCAAACAGCTTTTGAATAAACTTACTGTATGTGAATAAATTTTTGATTTTATCCACTGATAATTGCTTTTCTGAAATATAACTACTTGATAACATTTATTTGGTTAATTAATATATATTTATATATATGTAATAATAATTGTATCAAATATTGAATATCTTTAATTTTAAGATATATATTATTTTTTAAATAAAATTATTTAATATATAAGTATAGATTTCNATGGCAGAATTTTAAATAAATGCTGTACAATTTGCTTTTGTCAAATTTTTATTTTGTATTCTTAATATTTATCTTATTTTAATGTTTTTATTGGTTAAAAAGTAATTACTGTTTTTATTTTCTACAGCGTATGGATTTAGGTGAATGTCCAAGAATTCATGATTTGGCGTTGAGGGCTGATTATGAATCTGCCTCAAAAAAGAAAGATTATTATTATGATGTTGATGTAAGTAATTGTTATAAAAAATAATAAGAAAACTAAATGGTCATTTTCTTAATTTAAAGTAATAAAATTAATGTTATACATTCACTTCAGTTTTTGGCTTTTATTTGATTGAAAAACTATTTTTGACTTACAGAATACAATAATTTCAATGGGGAAAAATATTAATTCAGTAAATTAAATGATTGGTGTGTGTGTGTTGTTATGATTTCTACAGATGTAAAAACAATTTTCAACTTTTGTTTATTGCTTGGCTCCAGAATTGACTGGGTTAGTGAGGATCTTGAGAAGCCACTTCCTTCACTGCTAAAATGAAACAGCTGACAGGATGATCAGTGAGTACAACTTATGGGGTACATTACAAAAAATAATTGTTGAAACTCAAATAAAAAGTTGCCATTATTTTAGTTTGGTAGCTTTATGCATTTATTGGAATGTTTATACAATAATTGTTAGTCTTTTTTAGAACGAGGGATATTTTTGTTGACTTTATAAAGGCTGCTTTAAATAGAAATTACGTTAAGAGAAATAGATTAATTGTTGGGGGAAAATTTAATTAATAGTGACAATTATTAAGACATACAGGCCAATTTATGAAATAATATGTAATCCAAGATATAATATCTTCCAAAGGATAATACTTGTATTGAAAAACAATTTGTAAAAGTGATAGTATTTTTCATTAGGCTCTTCATATTAATCAAGCCTTCCAGCTGATGATGTGAAGCTTGGCATTGGCAAATAGTGAGTCTTTTTATTGAATTTTTAATTGGTGTTATTTACGAAGATAAATCAGAACTAGGTTTGCTGAATTTTCACATATTATTATTTTTTGATTTAGGAATGGGGCAGTTACAAAAGGATTTGCATTAGACCAAATTCCAAACAGCTTTTGAATAAACTTACTGTATGTGAATAAATTTTTGATTTTATCCACTGATAATTGCTTTTCTGAAATATAACTACTTGATAACATTTATTTGGTTAATTAATATATATTTATATATATGTAATAATAATTGTATCAAATATTGAATATCTTTAATTTTAAGATATATATTATTTTTTAAATAAAATTATTTAATATATAAGTAGATAGATTTCATATATTAATTAAATTTTTTAACAGATTAATATTTTTTAGATTCATATTTATATATTGAAATTATGTATTAATGCAAAATTTGAAATTTGTTAGTCATGTAAGTAATTGTAATGGACTGTCTTTGGAAAGGAATTCTAAATGGTGTTACAGGTTTCAGAATTTTTTTTACAGAGTGGAATAACATTAATAACAGAGGGGGTGGAGAATGAGTCTGTTATTTGTATGTGAAGACAAAAGTACTGAAATCTGTGATGGCATTTACCTTCTTTCCTAAAATAATTAAAACTTTATATATTATAGTATGAATAAAAATGTCTTGTTTTTTAAATATTAAAAATGAAATTCTGTGTGTCTGCTAATTACATACAAGTTACTGTTTATTTTATTTAACCTTTTAGCTGCAGAATACTGATTTCACACTGTTTTTAATACATAGTTTTGTTTTTTAGATTAAAAAATTATTTTGCAGCATGCTGTTAACTGTAAACTTGATCAAAGAAATAAATCTGTTTAAAATATTAATTTGATACAAAAGATTTTTAATTTACAAAGTATTTTTTATAATTGAAATTTGATGAATTTATTTTACTTCATTTTAAATTTAATTATTTTTAATCAATTATTAATAAAAAAAAAACATTAAAAAAATCTCTGTTGCTTTAATTAAAAGAAAATGAAAAAAGAAAAAATTGACCATCTGCTGATAGAATAGACTTTTTTTCTCTATTATATTCAGTAATTGTGATTCACCTAATAATAACCAAAGAAAAACTTGTTTAATGGAATAATAGATATTACATTGTAGTTATACAAGGATATGTGAATCACTCAAATTGTCCTACGTAAATAATCTAATGTAATATTTTATAAGAAAATATCTGAATTTATCCTGTAATTTTCTTACATCTTATAAATGTTCATATAAAATCCTTCACATTAATAATACTGTTTAAGATTGAAGTAATTGACAAAGGAAAATAGTTTACATTATGTAAACAGTCCAGAAATGTTTTTATATTCTTGTCTATGTTTATTATTTTATATCTGAAGTTTTAAACATTTTTTCTGATGTAAATTTAATTTATAAATGTGAACAATATTCATCTTTTTAATGCATTTAAATTTGTTTGAGATTTAGATATGTAATAATTACTTTTAATAGATTTAAACAAAATGCATCACTTCAGGTATTAATTGAATTTTTATACCGTAAGCCAAATTTCCTATTCATATGTTGCATTCCATTCTGACTCTTGAAACATTTGGATGTCATTTCTAACCATCCTTAATAACATTATGCTACTATTTAAAATTGAATATATCAATTTAAATTTATTTTACTCTACAATTAAAACTTTGTATACAAAGAAAATAATATGCTACAAGTTAAATGTGATCAAATAAATAATTCTGAATCATTTTATAAAAAAAAAGTTGTCAGTTTTTATAGTGTAATTAGATTGATTTATATTAAAATTTAACCAGTTTATTTATATTATTATAGGAGATATGCTACTTTTTGCACAGTTTAGCAGTTAAATTTATATTAGATGTGCAAATCATATAATAGGACTGTTTTTGTACTGCACTAATAATAATTGTAGCTAAAGGTTAATGTTTACAGTTTTACTTAAAAATACTGCTTATTTACATATATAAAGTTATAATAAATATATACTTTGGGTTATCTTGCATATTTCTAATTTGTGTTGAACTTTTTCAATATTCAAAATAAATTTAAATTTTGTATTTTTTTAATAGTAATTTTTTTAAATGTATGGTTTTATGTTAAACTTAATATTACATTATTGTTTTTTTTTTTAATTATTAAATGCAGGTTAATCCTTGATTAGTAATACAGGTGTACTTCGAGTTACGTCGTTCCCCATTATACGTCGTTTGTCAAAAAAGTATATGGAAAAATAAAAATCAAGTTTAAGTCATTTTATTCGACTTTGTCTGTCCGCCACAAATACTGAAGTCGTAATATCACTAGAAAAATGTTTAAAGCACATAAAATCATATTATAATATATACATTTAGAAGTATATACTGTATTTACAGCAGGCCTACATACATTCATAAATTTAGATTACTTTTTTCTGTACTATATTAAAAACTAAAATTTATTTGTTTGTAAGCTTAAAATAGATCCTTATTAACCATACATTATTAAAAATGCATTAATAAATAAAATGCAGAACCGGAATTGGCATTTTTCGACTTAAGTCTTTCTCCTGGAACCAATTACAGACGTAAGGCGAGGTATACCTGTACAAAAATTTAATTTTTTAATTTTTTTTTTATAATATCATAGCAGTTTTGTTTTACATATTGTCTATGTAAAATTTTTGTTTAAAAGGTTTTTCTAAAGATAATACACTTAATTTTCATAAATTTTTCAATAATGTATATAGTTTTATACATTTTTTTTATAAATTATGTTTTATATTAATTTAATATTATTAAAATTAACATAAATAATTTAACTTCATTAACTTATAAACCTTGGATATTTTTTAAGAGTATCTATACGATTTAATGTATATAATTAAAAAACGTTTTCTGCAAAAATGACATTTAAAATTATTTGACAAATTATTTCATTTAAATCTCATTTAAATGTTTAAAAATGACAGTTTCTTTATTAATTTACGTTTATTTCATAAAATAATTCAAAAGCAAACTTTACTAAATATTTAATATAATTAATAATAATAAACCTCTTTATTATTATTATTAAATAATAT